TACTGTTCAGTTTCTTGCACAGACCGATCGTTTTGTGTCTTTACACATCAATGTATCGTCACGAGCCGCAGGGTTTCATTTAGTTTTGTTTGCATTTTTTTACTCTCAAAGCCGTGATTCCCATTCACCTCCATTATAAGACTGACAGACTGCAACGGTTTGAGTTAACAATCTTTGTTTGTGTTCTACTGAAGAGACAAAGTCACCTACATCTTGGATGCCCTGGGGGTAAGCAGATAAACATCAAATTTTCATTTTTGGGTGAACTATTCCTTTAACCAGCGTTTACAGACTTCATATTTTCACATACATGACATTTTGGAAAATGATTGCATTGCAATCCAGAACAGAGACGAGTTGCAATAAGTTTGTGCAAGTCCAGAACAGAGACGAGTTGCAATAAGACAAAAAAATGGCCGGTTGCCGATCTCGTAAGTTCCAGGGGAAGCTCCTTAAAGGTTCGGCCATCCATCCTACACACACGTGACTGACCACTCATTCGCACCAACAGGAGGAGGGTCTCTCTACACTGCACTCAACCTGAGGGATTCCTACACTTTCAGTCTTTGAGGAGACATGAAAAACAGCGCATGCCGCAAGAACGGTATAACGGAAAATATTAGTGGTTTTGAAACCGTGACATTTTCAAATCGCGGTATACCTTGAAACCGGTAATCGGCCCATGTCTATGTGGAACATTCTACATCTATTTGCATTTTGCAACTTTTTTTTCTGATATATTATTAAGACTTAATTTAACCTAATTAAATCAACAGATTAATTAATTACGCAGTATAGTAAACTGCAGGCTTGCTGTAAACACATTGCAGTGGTGTATGTGTTCTGTAGCACAAGACTTCAGGAAAGTCAGAGAAGCTTTTTTTCTATCATTTGCTGTTGGATTTTTGTAGTCAAATGTTTGCAAAATGCCTCATTTTAACCACTGATTTGTCCTAGTTTTTCCCTTTTGTTGCTTCATATTAATGACTAACAGCTAATCCCTTCTTTTTTCTGTTTTAGTTGGATGGGCTACTCCTAAAGCTTCTAGGCTACCCAAACTTGAGCCTCTTGGAGATACAAGACATTCTGGTAATGGCTGGTTCATTGCATCTGTTCCCTGTCCGGCATGTCGACAAGCATGCACATCACTAACGTTCTTTTTTCCCCCATTCCGTTTCCTAACCATGTAATCATCTCCCATAATTCTGTTCTTAAAGCTTTTTTTTTCTCTCCATCCACACAGCAAGCTTCAGCCACATCCTTCCTATACAATCATCTGTCAACAGAAATACCACAACCATCCATCTTAATATTGTGCCTAATAAATGCTACTAGCATGATCTCCTTAACACCTCACTTACTGCGCTGTGACTAATGTGTGTTATTTGATTCCTGATGCTTACAGGAAACATTTTGGACATTCTGAATGCTGCATGTAATGTTCTGTGTCCTCTTCTGAATGTTAAACCAGGCAGTGTGTCATTTTGATCTACTCTTGTAGTATTTAGTTAGCTGATCCTTGATTTTAAAAAAGGACATTGCTGACCTAAATCTTTTTTTTTTTTTTTCCCCATGACTCTCTTTCATTGGCAGATTTCTATGGCAAACCTCTCCCACCTGTATCAGTTAGGCACAGGCCGAACAGCGATACACATGATGTAATTTCCTAACACTACCTCTGCTTCCCCCTGACTGGTTTACAATTCTCAAGGGTATTGTTTTGTTCTTATCTTCAAGCACGGGCAGTGTAGCAAACTACGCAGACACAATTGCCCAGAAGCGAGGAACTGATACCCAATCGACAAACCCAGACGGATCACATGACCTCGAGCACCTATTGACTGGTGGTCAGCAGAAGCTGTGTTTAAATGAGATGGGGGACGTGAACATTTATGTTCAGATAATGTGCAACATTTTGATTTCTTTGGAGCCGTTTGTCTTGTTTTATCAAAATACTTAAAATCAGTATTAACAGACATGAAACTCAATTGAGACTTCTTTGTCAAAAATATATCACAGACCTATTTTTTAAGAGAATTGAAATGTATATAAATACATAAGTTTTAATTTATGTACTTGAAATTGTACAAACATGTTTTTATCGTCCACATGCATATCTTAAACTCTTATATAATGTGCAGTTGATTGTGACACAGTTTGCCTTTTAAATATCAGATGGTCTTTTTTCCAGCAGCATTTATAGGTTTATACACTACGCTGTCTTAATTTTGAGAACGACATTCATACTCTCAAATAGCACCAGCAACAGATACAGAGATCGTGAGAAAGTGAACTTTTGAATGTGATGGAAAATGTTTTTGCAAGCCCATGAAACGGCATTTTATTCTGGTACACTTTGCTTTATCAGGGAGGAAAACATTTGCCATCTGAAAGATGATGAGTGGGTAATTTCATGATTTAATGTAAATGTAACAATACTCAACATCCAATATAAATACATATTTTTAATATATGATGTAATTTATTGTAAACGCTGCTTTCATGATTATTTTATGCTATTGCCATTTTTATATTTCACATTGTTTGATGTTTTGTTTTGTATTTTACCACACACACTAATATTTAGCTGATGCAAAGTTCTGTGCATCATCCAGTTTGCTGTGCTTTCGGTACCTGCGCCTTTTGTACCCAGTTAACACTCGATATGAATGTCAAATAAAAAAATAAAAAGTACTCTATTATGGTCACTCTCACTCAACACACTAGCAGCACCCTCTGCTGGTTGGTGCCGTAACTGCATCATGGTATGGTTTTCAACTAGACAGCAGAGCTGTGGAGATGTGCAGATGATCATTGTATGATGGAAACAAACAAAGAAAGAAAGATGTTTACATTTTATTTTTGCAAGAATTATTTAAAAATTCAAAGGAAAGCTTTGTTTGTTACACTTTGTTATTTGGAGCAGTTTGGAGATCTGAAGCAGATATAAGATAGAATATGGCTCAGTTGATTTTCGCTTTGACAGCCATATTGTAACAGACAAAATAGTTACAAGCCTACCTGTGAAATTACACAGATGCATTATGTAGGAAATGACATGGCAAAATATGCTTTAGTGCAATCAGAAAAAGTACATAATGTGCAAGGTTTTAAATCTCTTTTGGTACAGTTGGTGTAAAATGTTAACAACATATATACTGTATATTACCTTTGTTGGCTGCTGCCAGCACACATCTTTTATTGTTTTTTTGCGACAACTGGCTTAGTATTCCAGTTAGTCTAATCAAACTTTGATCCATCACTCAAGTCCAGGCAGCTTTCTAAAGCACAGCATTTAAATGACTGAATTAACATACAGTATAATGGTTATCTCGTACTTATAAATATACATATTTACGTTTTGCCAATACTTTTACACAAATATACTTTATTTTACAGTGTCCTTGTTACATGTGAATTTACTATAATAGTCTATAACAGTACATTAAGTATAATTGCGGTAAGATAGGGAAGATGCCCCAAGAAAAATGTGGATTTACCTTTATATTGTAACATTTGCTAGTTTGGTTGTTGCCAATTTAGTTGAATAACTGATGACAGACATACATGGCAGAACTTTTATACAGGCATATGAATATTTAAATATTGTCCATATTTGAATTGAAGGTATGTCATAAGAGCAACACTGAATACAAATTTAATGGGACTTGAATTATTGCCCTGGTGGTGGAAATGGGGATTGTTCAATGCTTTAGCTCTTTTCTTACAGCCACTTACTATTTTGTGAAGCAACAATCTTGTTCTGCACATCAGAACTATATTCGTTGGTTTTAGTCCTTGTGATGGATGATTAAGGGAATTTGGCCTTTGTGTTCCTCATATTTATAATCATGTGGAACAGGAAGTCATGTCTGGACAATTTCATGGGAATATACTTCAGAGATATTTTACTCCTAAGAATTTCTAGGGGTGCCAATAATTGTGTGTGTGTGTGTGTGTGTGTGTATATATATATATATATATACAAATACTGGAAATAATATATATATATATAAATTAGCTAAGCAAGGGTTGCAACACTGGCAACAATCAGTGACAAATTGTCGTAAAAGATGAATTCATTGTATGGTTTCAGTAGCACCTTAAATCCCACTCCACTGATCAGACTAAAATGAGCTGAATTATAAAATTAAATATTTTGTTTTCTTTTTCCTATAGAACAGTTTTCAATCGAATATTAAACAATACAACACCAATGACAAAAAAAGTAAATAAAGTTTTTCAACATCACAAATTTAAATTTCTAATAAAAATGTGCAAAACTGTAAATAGCCTAGTTTTATATGGTGTGTAGACACATGCCAGTTTTGGGATGACAGCAGAGATTTGAGGTAAACAAAAAGGCATAAAATTAGTATAACCTATACAATTAAATCAACCAAAAGTTAGCCTAAATAGCCTAAAAACATTACGATGTTTACAAATATTAACAGTTGCTTATTTACCCCATATTTAGCTAACAGAAGCAGCACCATAACACAATAAATGAACTAAAAATGAATACGTATCGGTAAACGAAAACCGACTGTAAGCACAGAAAAACGGAACAACTTTCATAATCCACGTTTCTGGGGGAACCCAATAAGAAGGCGGACCGCTGAACAATAAATAAACTAAGAAATTCCGATATATCAATATCGATGTTTTCGACGAAATTATGCTGCATTAAGGGATTTTCCAGCAATCCTCTTCTCTTTCTGAAGTCTTTTAAGCGTGTTCTACCCTCCTTGTCTCATGGTCACTGCACAGTCACTAATACAGTGAGCGGTTTATATTTCTCCTGAAAAGTATCTAGTTATAATCATCTTTTTATTTTTTCTCTCTTTATATTAGGAACATTAATATTTTTAAACATTTGTAATGTATTTTAATTGAAATTTTGTTTAGTTGTACATAATATACTTTTAAGTTTTAAAAATATTTATTTTTTCATTTATCATATTTATATTTTTGAATATTTATAAATATTTGAATGTGTTTAAACGGTTCTCAACAGCTTGAAGCACAGTGTAAATCTAAACCTCAGAAGCAGGTTTGTAAGACTGTACTGAAGCATTTTGATGCACAGTACAGTGAAGAGCTCGGAGAGCAGTGGCGCAGTGCAAGGTGGTAAATATGATTTATTAATTTTTTTTAAATAGCCATTCTGTAAAATAACTGTGAAAATAGTTTGTTGTTTTTAGCATGTTTTTAAATGTATGGTATTACATGTATGGCATTACCACAGTACTTTTTTTGTAAATATTAGCTTTCTGGAAATAGTGTTTTATTTTATTTACAAAAATGCATTATATTAAACAATCTCGGAACTAGTCTGCACAACATAAATGTTTGATGTTTTCAGGGATGTGCTTCTGAATCCGCTCTCATGGCAGTACGGTGTACTGCTTAATCGCTTCTGTGACCTTACAAACCTCAAGCAGTGCCTCACAGAGCTTGGATACACAACCCTCCTTCCACAGACGCATCCTGAATCTCATTCCCAAACGGCACCCACCCCCCTGCAGTGTTTTATTCACCGAGATCCAGTGCGAATTCCTACCCAAAACCACCACCCTGGCTGGTTAAAACAGTACTACCTCCTAAACGCAGCCTCTCTTCTCCCAGTACTGAGTTTGAATGTGAAGGAAGGGGAGCATGTGCTTGATCTTTGTGCAGCTCCTGGGGGGAAAAGTCTGGCAGTATTACAGACAGCCACTCCTGGTAAGTTTCAAACGTAGTCTAGAACAATCAACAAAATACGTAGGACTAGGGCATGACTCGTGTATGTGAAATGATCTGTGACTGAGACAAACCTAATGATGAACTACTGTATGTAAAACTGTTCAAAAGTTTGGGGTTGTTAAGAGTTTTTAATTTATTTGAAAGAAATGACTTGTGCACACCAAGGCTGCATTTATTTAATCAAAAATACAGTAAAAACTGTAATATAGTTATCTTTTATTACAGGTTAAAGTAACTGTTTACTATTTTAATATAACATTCTTAAAGGATGCCAACAGGAGTTTGAGGTAAAGAAAAGGACACATAAAATAAAGTTGTAAAAAATGTATTCGAGATATGAGCAAGGATTTGGGTAGAGAAACGAGTATAGTCCATTGGAATAACTTATTGGATATTACTCATGAAATTAAGTGCCCAGATCACAGCATCATCCCAGTCTGTCAAAGTGAAAGATAATGATTATTAGGGCTGTCACTAACGACTATTTTTATTTTGATTAATCTGTCGACTAATTTATCGATGAATCGATTAATCTAAACGATTAATTTCCCACCAACAAATTAGCAATTTTACTTAAGAATAATTTATTAAACTATATTTTATTAAACCAAATGAAATCCAAATTTCTATGAAATCCTCTTTTTAAAGCAAAAGTAAAGTGCAACATAGAGTGCAAGAAGCAAGTGTCCATCTCATAGTTTAAATCAAATAAAATTATAATCAAAAAACACTTTTTAAAGGAGTATTTACCAGAAATGTTATTTACCAGAATTTATTTAGGAGAAAAATGTAAATGTGCAGTATGTCTGAAAAAAAAAACGAAAAAAAAAAAAACGTTGTTTTTAAAAAAAATTAAATCAATTAATTGGAGATGCTTTTGATTAATAACATTTAATTTAACCATTAAAACAGTGTATAGAAAAATGAAAATAAAAAAAAAAACGTTGTTTTTAAAAAAAATTAAATCAATTAATTGTAGATGCTTTTGATTAATAACATTTAATTTAACCATTAAAACAGTGTATAGAAAAATGAAAATGAAAAAAAAACTGAATTTGGAAATAAAACGGATTTAAAATGAAAATGGAAAAAAACTGAATTTGGAAATAAAACGGATTTCATAGTGCCCTATAATTATAATTAATTTTTGTGTGGTAATAAAAATAGATGTAAGTGAACAATAGCCTTTAATATTACTTTAAATACATATATAATAGCAATGAGGCAATAATAATTAGTTCAAATAAAGTATCAAAAGCAAGAAATTATATAATTGTATTGAACAAAACTGTTAAAATACATAATGTTTTATAAACAATAGAGCTAATGTACATTACGCATTACAACAACGGCCTGCAGAGGGCGCCAACGGCCTAATGATTATTTTTACACATTACTGTGCGATCTTGTTTAATATTTACCAAGCACCATTTAATTAAAATGTCCACTTAATCTTTAATATTTGGCCATTTCTTTAGGACAGAAATGCTATAGCCACTGTAATTAAAAGAATATGTGGAAATCAAAACGTGTAAACTCAGAGTGAGGGTTTGAGCTTTTATTTTGAAACCGCGATGTATTCTCCTGTGTTTGCGTAGATTTATAAATGATTTACCTTACAAATCTGATTAAATGGCGCACGTTGCGTTCCCAGACGAACGTTATAATAAACCCAAACTCACAACAACATGCAGAGATGGAGTTTGAGACGCTCCACACATGTAAATGATAAGTTCCTGTGGAACTACTGTGAACAGAGCCGCTGTGTGACGCATGTACTTAACCTACAATTAAAGCGCATACACTGTATTAGAACTGCATCGCATATAATTATTTAATTAAATCGTAGAGTTTGTGAATTCACAATTATGCTTAATTATGATTTTTTTAAATGGGTTTAATATATCATGCAGCCTTGGGAAACAGAGTAATAATGTGTTTTATGGATTCTCGTCCGTGAAATGCGCCACTTCCGGTATTTTGCCGGTTAGTCGACGGGAGCAAAATTAAGTCGAGGATTTTTAAAAATCGAATAGTCGAATAAAATCGACGAATCGCGACAGCCCTAATGATTAGAATGCAACTTTAGCACTATTGTACTCTCTGACCCTTATAATTCAATGTGTTATTTGCTGGTTTACTATGAAAAACAAGAATTACTTGTGGGGTTCAAGTTTATTATCAAGTAATTTTTATAGTAAGAGCAAGTTATACTGTTCTTTTAAACTTACAGAATCAGAAGAACTATTTTCGACATTAGTAATAATCAGAAATGTTTCTTGGGCAGAAAATCAGCATATCAGAAAGATTTCAGTAAGAGCAAGTTATACTGTTCTTTTAAACTTACAGAATCAGAACAACTATTTTCGACATTAGTAATAATCAGAAATGTTTCTTGGGCAGAAAATCAGCATATCAGAAAGATTTGTGAAGGATCATGTGATACTAAAGACAAGTTATGGCTTATGAAAATTCAAATTTGCATCAAATTGTTAAATAATTTTTTATAATATTACAATAGAAAGCAGTTATTTTAAATTTTAATAATATTTCACAGTACCTTACTTAACTTACCTTTCTTTTCACAATACCTTACACAATACCAAAATCTTACCAAGTGTGACTTGGTGACTGTTAATTTCTAAAACTTACAGTACATTTCCTAGTACATGGAAATCAGTTTTTCATTAAATGACCCCTTTAAATGTAAATTACTTTTTGTTGTACCCTACAATTTGATTTTTCTTTTTTTTTGTGATAAAATTGAACTCTTAGGGCTCCTGCACTGTAATGAAGTGGATCAGCACAGACATGATTGGCTACTAAAGACTCTCGAATCATATGTTCCTCCTACACTACGACATCTCCTTTCAGTGACTCACCTGGACGGCCGGAGCATTGGGAGCATGCGGCCAGCGGCTTACGACAAGGTACCACACTTAACCTCTGCTCATCTGTCAGAGCCATCAAAATTACAACCTTTAAGCCATCATTTGGCTATTTTAAGTGCTGATATTTACACATAATGAGTTCTTCGTAGGAGAGAACATTACCTAACATTTGTTTGAGTCCGTTAACTGCAGAAGCTTAATTCACTGAATTAACCTCCACGGAATGTCATCCATCCAAGTGTTTGGGGGTGGAAAAAACTGCTTGTTTGTGAATGTCAAAGTGACACTCTTACATGACATCAATAGCGATGCTGCCTCCAAACTCCCTCATTTATCACTGCTGGCGTAACTGTTAGTGCAAGCCCTTACTTTCCATCTCAAAGCAACCAAAAACCTGCAAGGTAGAATAGAGGTTTTCTGCACACTCAGTCATTTGAAGGCAAAGCTGCATATGTTTGCATTTTTTTCCCACTCATCATGAGGTGACGAGACACTAGGCAGGTCACTTGCAGCCCTCCAGGCCAAACATGCCAATCAAGCGGTGAATATGGCGCTTTTAAGGTTCCCAGATACTGCTGACTGAGTATTATCCTCTTCTGGCGGTGAGAAAAGAGTTGGGCCACTGAGCAGAAAGGTAAATGAATACACAATGCGACAGGAGGTGTCGTGATGGTTTCAAATGAAAGCAGCTCAGGGTGAATGCGTTGGTAGGTTAACTTTTCCTATTGTTTTTTTTTTTTTTTTGAAGCTAGGCTTATTGGAAAAACATCCCTGTGGCGAGATTTCTGTAAAAGAATAGATATCATGTTGCTTCTTGCATGTTACTCAACACTTACAAAGGGAAATGTCCAGCACGTTTAGTTTTATCTGAAACGTATAAACAGGAATCTGGCAACGTTTTATGTTGGTTGTTGTACGTAGCACTATAGTTCAAAAATGAAATGTCTGGTCAGTGGCACTAAAAGGCTAATGCTCTACGACGTTTGAAAATAATGTACCACCTCAAGCAAACATGAGATAAAAATGCCATTTATCTTGCTTCTACATGTCTTGAAGCTCTTTTATTATTATAATAATTTTTTGGTGTTTTGCCTTTTATTATGATACGACAGTGGAGAACAGACAGGAAGTGAAGTGGGAGAGAGAGAGAGGGGGGCAGGATCGGGAAAGGTCCTCAAGCTGGAATTCGAACTCGGGATGCCTGTAACATAACGGCGTTATATGTCGGCACACTTGCCCACTAGGCTATCGGCGCCAACATCTTTGAGCTCTTTTGTCATGCCTCGTGTTTCATTGGATTTTCATGAGCGCTCTGAATCGCAATTGCAGTGTTTACCAGGTGAGCTACTGAGCAAGTTTACTATGTCAGAAAAGCTAATCATATGAATCTAGTTATGTGATGCAGACTTAAAAATGTATTAGTTTATAAGTCTTGCACTATGGTAAAAGTGTTTTGAGGTCAAAACATGGTACTGTGTATAGTATATAGTCTTTATTAAGTCTTTGTTAGTCAATATTCTGCCCCTGCAATCATAATTTGTGTGAAAAGGAATAAAATTGGTTTGTGTTTTACTGACACTAATGCTCATTTCAACCAAAAACTGCAGTGAATTAAATGTATTGGTACTTTTTTTTTTGGTACATCATTTTGCATAAAAGTAAGTAGAGGTACTTTTTTTTTACAATGAGTCTTGTTTTTTGTATAATTCATTGAATATAGCACAACCACACATGGCTGTGATACACCCATCCCACCAGAAGGTGACAGTGTTGTTGTTTTACTCTCACTGACCTCCATTCACATTGGACAGATGCTTAAGATCCCCGGGACCCTGGATGGAGGGGACACAGGTACGCATTCAAGCTCTGATGATGAAAACTCCTGTCCCGAAATGTCAAATGAATATGTCTCAGATGCCCATAATCAAATCACTTTATCAGCACTGGCACTTAGATGAGGGTAACAGGTTTGGCTCTTCCTCTAAACGTGCCGCCGTTTCTAGATCACATTGTCAGGCCCACGGGGGTCTTTCTACACCATCATGTCCTTTAGTGACGTCGGTCTCCAGAGTGCCCCCCGGCGTTCTTTTAGCCAGACAGGCAGCAGAGCTAAGAGGGAATTAAGAGGCTCTAATACAAAGCTGGCAGGGAGAAAAACAGTGGGGCTCAATTGTCAGCTTGACAAGGCAGTCTCAGCCAGTTCTAATGAGGAGAGAGTAGTCTCAAAGGAAGCCGAGAAAGACGAGCTTAGCTAGAGCATAGAACGATGGGTTTGGTGGGTAAGGGACTGCAGGATTTCCTGAGAGAGATCCATACCAGAACGAATGGCTGGTATTTTTTTTATTCAGTCCTGTCTGTTGCTCATCTGAATCTTACTGCTTGCGTTGGTTGTTTGTTTAACCACTGTAGAAGATTCTAGCTCAGGTGCGTTTTGTGATTATTAGCCCCAGGTGTGTGTAGTGTTTCCACTGTCACTCTCTCTCTCTACTTCAGCCGCTCTCTCATTTGTTCAGCTGGTTTCACAGAGGACGGTGTGAGTGTGTTGGTTCTTTTAAAGAGCTAATGAGGCCCATACCGGCAGGTCCCTGCTGTCCTTCTGCTTTCCTCTTTGTGTAATTTTCACCATCCCCCAGGTGAACACGAAATATTCCCCTTCTGTCTGCTACACTGTTTTTCCTCCCTGCAGAGTTAGAACCTGTTCTCTGATGTGTGTTTGTCTGTGTGCGTTGCTCCGTCCCTCTGTGTCAGGTGCTTGTAGATGCCCCGTGCTCTAATGACCGGAGTTGGCTTTATACCCCTGATACTCACCAAGGGGAAATGTGGCTGAAGGAGAGAACTCAGCTACCACTCTTACAGAAGGAGCTGCTTTGGTAAATATATATGACGGGAACTCCCACACACACATACAAACTCGTGGGCAAGCAGACAGCGCAAAACAATGCATTCTTGATTTGAGTTCTGCAATCTTCCTTGTCAGCATGCAAAGATTTAAATCATACAACAGTGAAGGCTTAATTTAAAGGGGTCATATGATGCAATTTCAAGTTTTCCTTTCTCTGCTGGCCAATCAGAGCAGACTGCGCTTGTCGGAAGGAGGGACTATGTAGAAAACGAAGCGTTTGAGAGAGGCGGGGCATAGAGGACCTACAATAATGTACAGTATTTGAAAAATAATGTGTTTTTTGAGCATTAAAGCATGTCAACATATTCTGTTACACCAAATACACAAAATAATGATCTTTAAAAAAGCATCATATGACCCCTTTAATATAATTTAGTTGTTTATTATAAACTAAATTTATTGACCAAAAACAACATTTAGCTGTGTCAAAAATGCAATGCACAGTCCAGTCCAGTTGTTGGATGCTTTTTAAAAAAAAAAATATTTTATTTCATTTTGTAAATAATTAATTAATTCATATTAATATTGTTAATTTAATATGTGAAATTATTAAATACAATTCTATATTTTTCTCTTTAGATGTTTTTGTTTATTGCTAGAAAAGGGCAAAATCGTAGAAGCACTGCAAAAATTATGAACTCATAAAATGAATGGAATAAAATGACAACTAATAATTAGTCTAAACTCCTGGGGTTGACATAAAAGTTAAGCACCTGCTTTTATTAATATTTTGAATGAACTTTTATTGTATATTTCCATTATTTAGTTTTATGTGTTTGTCATTTATAGTTTTATTAATATTTAGCTTTAATTTATTTTAGTAGTTTCAACTTTTTTTCAGTTTGTTTCCAAAACAACATTTCTAACATTCAGTTTTTTTTCATTTAAGTTTTTCATGTAATATTTATATTTTATGTCAGCTATATCACAAATATGATTTTTAATCGCTTTACTTAACAATTACACCTCTCCTTTTTCTAATGTGGTTTTAGAAAGTGCCAATTTGATGATGTCTATTTAATGTTAATAATGGCTGGTTGTGTTTTATTGTTGTTTGTCAGTTCGGCCCTAGCAGCAGTGTGTCCTGGAGGAGTGGTTGTCTACTCCACATGCACCATGTCACAAGCTGAGAACCAATCAGTTGTGGAGGCGGTGCTTGCATCTTATCAAGGAGTGGAGCTTTTGGAACTGGAGCAACACTTAATTGACTCTCTGTCTGATCATTTCTGCTTTGCTCACTTTCATCCTTCAGTGGGACAGTTAGTGATCCCACAAAAGGGTAAAACTTGGGGACCTATGTATGTTTCTCGATTACGAAGAATATATTAAAAATTTAAAAACATCATGCCATGGTGCAGTATTAGTACTTTAAACACATCAGAGCTGGGGAGCTCAGATGATTGATTCAGGTTTGAGTCATAACTATCTATCCTGGCCTTCTTCATTAAACTTTCCAATCCAAAAGCAATAAATAAATAAATGAATAAAAAAAAAAAGTATTTTCAACTTTTTACCTTACAATTCTTTTTTTTTTTTTAAGTTTGAAGTTTTGTTTGGAGTTTATATTTTGAAGTTAATTATTTTTTCTTGTAGTTCTGAGAAAAAAAGGCAGAATTGTGACAATTTCAGAATTGTGAGATTTAAACTCAAAATTATGAGAAAAAAGTCTGGATTACGAAATATAAAGTTTAAGTGAAATATAAAGAATTGTGAGATAAATAGACGCAATTATCTTTTTTATTTTTTTCATGGTAGAAACAAAAAGAGAGAACTGTGAGATGTAAACTCATAATTGCAAGATGAAAATTTGGAACAACAAGAAAGTCAGTGAGTTTATATCCGATTATTCTGACTTTTTTTCTCAGAATTGCGAAAAAGTCAGAAGTCACAATTCATTCATTCATTCCAAAGGAGAAATTATATTCCATGGAGGGAAAAAAACAGCAATAATGTGAAATATTTTTACATTTTAAAATAACTGTTTTCTATTTAAATGTTTCAAAATGTGATTTATTCCTGTGATGGCAAATCTGAATTTTCAGCAGCCTTTAATTAGTCTTCAGTGCCACATGATCCTTCAGAAATGATTGTAATATGCTGATTTGCTGATCAAGAAACTGTGAACTTTGAGTTTCCTTGCCTCGACAAAGGCAAAAACAGCCCAGGTTAGGCAGGAATGCTAATCTCTGGCAACTCTCCAGCTGAAGCACCACTTAATATGATCTCTCGGAAGTGAAAACTGTTTTGAAATCTCAGAACGCAACACTTGAACAAGGTTTGAGTAATGAATGTGGGCTCAGGTCTTTTCTCTTTTGCATAAGTGTTTTTAAATGTCTCAGCTGAACTGCTTGAGGAGTTCTGCTGTTGTCAGCCTTTGAGGTCAATGACAAATTGTGTCTAATAAAACTTAAAAGAGTTTTCCTGAATCATGGAAGATCACACTTTCAGTGTTTACCATTAGTATGATATATGAAAATGAGATCGCACACACCTTTTAGACTAGGTGTAGGCCAGGGGCGATTCTAGGATTTTCATTTTAGGGGGGCTCAGCCCCCAGTGAGGGTATAATAATAATAATAGTCTTAAAAAAAAAAACATTATATATATATATATATATATATTGTTTGCATTTCTAGCATTCCTTATCTCAAGTAGGCCTATGCAAACCTCTTTGCCACATGCATTGGAATCAGGCGGACAGTAACTAAGTACATTTACGTGAGTAGTGTACTTAAGTACACCTTTTGAGTATCTGTACTTTACTTGAGTATTATTTTTTCTGGGAACTTACGATTTTAACTTCACTACATTTGAAAGACAAATATTGTACTTTTCACTCCACTACATTTCTATGAAGGTCCTCGAAGTAAAAAGTCGTTAGCAGCTTTGAAAATCAGTGGGGGATTTCTTTCTTCTCTAAAAACTGTCTTTTTTTCAGACAGTGTATCAGTAATCACTCTTGTAGGGCTACATGAAGTGATTTCCCAGCATTTTTTGAACACTGACCAG